ATCTGTTTTAGTGTCTGAGGCTGCAGTAAACTCCTTAGGCAGATCTGCAAGAGGGAAGAGAGAAAAATGTCAGAAAAGTGAGTGACCACAGTATGTTGCTCACTGCCTGGATTTGCACAGCATCCTTCAACCTAAAGAGTAGGCCATGTAAAACTGATTAAAGCAGCCACAATACCTTTAATTGATGAGGTTAAGGAGCTCAAAGAGATTCGTGAAAAATTCTTGCAGCTTATTGGATCCTGATGTTAACACTGTAAAGGTTGCCTAATCTCTGCACGCACAAAATCTACTAACAATGGGGAAATAATATCAGCTGGCACTCCTCAAATAGGATAATTCGCCAAGTCATTTCCACCCGTTCTCTAGTCTAGGGCAGTGATTCTTAACCCAGCTTTTAAATTGGTAGATTTCAACTCCCAGAATTCCCCAGCCAGCATCGCTAACTGGGGAATTCTGGGAGTTGGAAGTCCACCTATCTAAAAGTTGCTGAGGTTGGAAAACACTTGTTTTAGGGAACTGCTCTGTTAAAAGACCTGCGTGCTAGATGGATCGAGGTTAGCCGCTGCATCTGGTTAAGGTGGTCGCCCTTGTTGAATGTCTTCTGAAAACACCAGTGCTTGCAGACTTACTGTTAAGTTGAGGGGCTTCTCCAGCAGGTTCTTCCGCGCTTTGCTCCACCACGTCCCAAGAGGCAGAGTTGGTTCTCTCCTCTTTGCACGTTGTCCCTTGTTCCTCGGTCTTCTCTTCAGCGTAAAGTCCAGGGATACAGTCTTTCTCCGTTTGCTCCAGGAGAGGTCTGGATGGCAGCTCTTGGAGACAGGATTCCAGCTCCTTCACTTCCTCGCAAGTCTCGAGCGTTCTCTGCGCATAGTCCTTCAGGGGCATCAAGCCCTTGTCCATCCCTTGGTTCACACCCAGTTTCTTCGATGACTGCTTTCTCTTCTTGGTTTGCTGGTGCCGACCAGTGCAAAAGCTACCGGTTATGTTAGGGCAGTTCAGCGCCTCTCCTGTCCCCTTGTAGGCCGTGTTCCTGCTTCCTCCGTCATCTGAAAGCACTTGAGAGTCACAGGACTGGGACGATCCCCAACTGTCACTGTCTTGGGTGCTTCCAGTGCTGTTCTGGGGGCTCCTGTTGCCTCGGTATGTCCATGGCTCATTCTGGGGATGGGGAAAAAAAGAGAGAAAGATGTGTGATCAGCCTTATTGCAGAGGGGAAAGGGAATGCCCAGCACCCAGGACAAGAAAATGGATTCCATGACCAACATTTCTTACCTCCTTTGGGTAGGGAATGTAGCCTGCGTAGGCCAGCACAAAGGTGCAGAATTGATTGAAGTCTTCTACAGTTCTCTGTCTTTTCTGGGGTGGCTGCAAAGATACGTGGGTTTTACAAGCCTGGATCTCAGTATCCTTTTACAATGTTAAAAAACCAGTTGAGCATAAATAGTAGAGCGTTTCTAGGACATTGCCCCAACAAGTGGAATGTCATAAGAACACAGCCAATGCAGGTTGGTTGACAAAACCTAGGCCAGTGGTGGCGAACCTATGGCACGCGTGCCAGAGGTGGCACTCGGAGCCCTCTCTGTGGGCACACGTGCCGTTGCCCCAGCCTCGCCTCCCCCACGACCCCCTCCTCACCAGCAGCCCCCCTGGAGGAGAGTCGCCCCCGAGCGTGGTCCATGCGAAGCAGCGCAGCCAAGGACATGGCAGCCAGGCAGCGTAGACAAGACTCTGCGCTCACACCCATCGCGCACAGTTGGGCATAGGGCATGGCCGCCATGGCACTGCTGGGCTGCCTGGGTGATCTGCAGTGGGCCCTGGAGGTGGTGAGTGGCCCTGCGGGCAGGTGGGGTGGGGGCGGGGCAGGGGGTAGAATGGGGGCGGGGCCAGTTTTGGGGCACTTGGTCTCTAAAAGGTTTACCATCACTGACTTAGGCTATCCCATTCAGTTCCATAAATCACTGCCCACCCTACTCATCCCCAAAACCTACCATCTTTTGCAAGACCGCCTCCTACCAAACACCTCCCTTCGACCAGTCCGCTCCCACAGAGAGGGCCTCCTTAGAGTGCCGTCGGCCAGACAATGCCGGCTGGCGACCCCCAGGGGGAGAGCCTTCTCTGTGGCAGCTCCTGCCCTCTGGAATGACCTACCCCCCGACCTACGTACAGTTGCGGACCTGCGCCTTTTTCGCCG